AACTCAACCACTAGGCTACTCTGCTTTCAGGATGAGCCACATTCAGAAGGTAAGTCTGGACAAGGTTGGGAATAAGGCACCATGACAATGAGGCAGTGTCCCCCACTGGCAGGCTCTTCTTAGAGGGGGAGGAAGGCCGTGTCAAACCACAGTGAGGCTGCAGGAGACCAGAGCACACAGGAGGGGGTCTCAGGAGGCAATAGCACTTTCGAGTTTATCACCCATTTTTCTGTCCAGTCTCACAATTGTTCTGTCCAATACCACGAAGCTACACTGACTATCCCCAGTTTAGAGAACGGTAAACAGAGGCTCAGAGAGGAAGTCACTTCCTACAGCTGAGCAGCTAGCAAGTGGCACGGCCAGGACTAGCACCCTGTTTGTGTGGTTCCAAATCCAAAACTCTTCCCAGTAAAGATGGCGGTGCTGGCTGCAGCAACCACAATACTGGATCATCTCAGCAGGTGCTTTTATGTCCATTTGATAGATGGGGAAACTGAGGTGCAGAGTGGTAATTAACCAGCCCAAGGTCACACAGCTGAAACTGAGTAATGCCCAACGTCAGGCATGACCCCGGCTCCCGGCCCATGTGGTTGGACACAGCTCCACAGAGTCGGACCCTCTGAAGAGTAGCTCAGAGGAGCTTGGAGTTTCAGGTGTACCCTATGAAGTTTTCAGAAGAGAGCTGGCAGTCAGGAAGTTCAAGGATAAAACCTGAGCAAAGATGAGGAACCATTCTGAATTCTTTCAACCATCCAGGGGGGCAGGGGATGGGAGAGGACAGGCGCTGGGGATGTCTGGAGACCTGGGAGCACAAAAGCAAGAAATAGGCCGAGAAGCTTCACCTTCAACTTTCCCTCTAAAAGGTAAGCTGATTTTGTTAATGAAAGGGAAAAAAACATTGTTTTAAAAAATTCATTTAAAATCACAAAAGGCCACACATTGTTCTGATTTCATTTATATGAAATGTTCAGGAAAGGCAAATCCCCACAAACAAAGCAGATCCAAGGTTGCCAGGGGTTATGGGGAGAGGGGAGAAGGGGAGTGACTAGGCTTTTTTAGGGTGATGAAAATGTTCTGAAATTAGATGATAGTGATGGTGGTATCACCATCTCAATATACTTTAGATATTTAAATTGTACACCTTAAAGGGGTGAGTTGTATGGTATGTGAATTACATTTTGGTAAAGCTCTTAAAAAAAACCTATTTCAAAAACAAAGTGCGTGGACACTCTAACCTGGAGAAGGTCAGGGAAGGAAGAGATGTGAATAAGCTCTTGCCACGGGCCAGATGTGCCCTGCAGGGTGGGCCCCGGATGACGAGCCCCAACCCCATGGGCTACCCAAGCTTTGGTTCTGTCCCTGTATCTTGTTCCTCCTGCCACAGTCCCTTTACACAGACTACACTATTGCCTTATCTTCAGAACCCACTTTCTCTGCTTTGTGCCAGATCTTGGCTCCAGCACCACTTCCTCAAGGAGCCCGTTCCTGGCCTCCCTGACAGGCTCTGATGTCCCTGACAAAGGGCTCTGGTACAATCCCTCATGCCCTATGTGTGTGTCCACCTGCAGAGCCCTTGTCCCTCTTATCACTTAACATGGGTGCAGGTAACACAGGTCTGTCCTCCCTTAGGCCATGGCCTCCACGGGCTAGCACGCACCTGTCCACCTGGACACCCCCAGTGGTCAGCCTGGTGCCCAGTGCACATCACACACTCAGAAAACACCTGAGGGAGGGAGGCAGGGGGGCACCACAGGAGGCAACAGTGACACCGAGCTAGTGACAGTGAGGTAGACAGGCCCAGAGGCAGCAAACAATGGGGTCAGCGTATGAGGGAGACACAGCCCTAGGGACGCCCCAAGGAGGCCCACCTAACTCAGCAAGGGGCAAGTGGTCTCAACAGATAGTTCTTAAGAAGAGGATACACTTGTCAGACGGGGGTGGGGGGGGGGGGGGGGGAATGCTATATCTAAAAGATGCATAGGGGTGCCTGGGTGGCTCAGTGGGTCAGGCATCTGACTCTTGATTTCAGCTCAGGTCATGCATGACCTCATGGTTCATGAGATCGAGCCCTGCATCAGGCTCTACACTGACAGCACGGAGCCTGCTTAGGAATCTCTCTCTGCCCCTCCCCTGCTCCCTCTATCTACTTCTCTCTTTAAAAAAATTTTTTTTAAAGGCATCAGAAGAATCTGCTGTTCCCTGGAACTGAGAACAAGCCACAGTATTCTGTGATGTTGCCCCAAGCAGAAGGTCCACGTGGTGCATAACCACAGAGTAAGAACCTGGGTCCAGCTGAAGGCAGGCCCTTCAGCACACAGCCCGGGGCCTAGCGCTCAGGGCACGGATCCAAGGCAGAGACGATGTAGAGAGAGGGTGGGGGGACCTTGGGCAAGTGGGAAAGTTCGGATGGATACAAAAGACAGACACTGACATGGGTGTGGGGGGCTGAGCCCCTGGAAAGGAGCCTTGGGGCTCCTTCCACATGCAGGTGGGGAAGGAGGGCCCATGCTCAGCCCCACGGGGCGTGCAACCGTGTCGCCGCCTGTCCTGGCCAGCCGAGGAAGGAGACCGCGCTCACCAACATAAGCCCGAGGCTCCCCCTGGCTTTGGGCGTCTGCGTGCTTCTCCCCCTGCGTGCAGTCACACCGGCCACTCCTTTCCTACCCATTTTCCCCGGGGTGACCGCTGCAAGTGAGTTCTGCCCACTTGGAGTGCCCAGTCCAAGGCACCGAATAAGATGGGGTGGCCTCGGCACTGGCCTGAGAGCACCCCCGGAACCTCCCTGCTTCCCTCACATCTACACACATGGCCTGTCACTTGTGGGGAGGCACGTCCTGGCCCCGGGAGCCACAAGGAACGGGGGCACAAGGAAGAGCAGGATGGGAAACGCAGGCCTCTGACTCTCGCCCTCTCAAGCATTCCTGAGCCGAGAGAGGATGCCCTATCTGCCCATCACGTCGGCGGCCCAGCGGGTTGGCTCCAGGTGCCTCATGCAGTGTCCTCTGATCCGCTCCGCGGTGGGCAGTGGCCTCTGCCCATCCCGTCCTGCCCAGGTACCTGGTTCTGCAGCTGGGTGGCTGTGGCTTGCTGGTCACTGTCTCGGAGGGTCAGCCTCTCCTGCAGGGCTGCCAGCTCCTCCTGCAGCCGGGCTTTCTCCTCCTGCAGCTGGGACATGGCCTCCACCATCCTATGCACCACGGGGGCTGCACCTGGCGGCGCCGCCAGGCTCGCGCACCTCCCGCTGCCAAAGAGCCGCCCACCTATGAGCAAAGTAGTGGCCGATCAGAAAGGACAGCAGAGGACCCACCCTGGATGAGCCGGGGGGGGGGGGGGGGGGGGGGGGGGAGGCGGGGGAGGGTGTCACGGCAGGGTAGACCACCGGGAAGGGAAGGGGATGCAAGCCAGTGGGACAAGGGTGGGGGGTGGCAGCAGCATGGGTTGGCAGGGGGCAGGCCCTGGAGGAAGCCCTTTCTGGGAGACAGGATTGCCTGGATAAGGACTGAGGAAAGGGACTTTCGCCCTAGACCCCCCTCAAGTATGGGCCCCAGGTCTGATGGGCAACACCCTCTCTGTGGCCAGGCCGCAAAGAATCGCAGCTGAGAAAGACGTGCCTTCTGGCAACAGTTGATTAAGAGTCCGGGGTTCTCTCCCCAGAAAACACTGTTCTTGGGGTAAACGTGATTTCTTTAAACCCCAACCCCCTCCAGAGTACAGAAGAGAGGCAGAGAGAGGCTCCCCAGCCCGTCCCCTGACCTCTGCAGGGAGTGGTCACCTGCACACAGAGAAGGGGCGGGGGTGGGGGGTGTGCGTGTGCAAGGGACAGTCAGACCAGGACGTACAGAGACAGACAGAGCATGTGAGCAGGAACACAGCCAGGCCCACTCTGGGGCCGACACCTGTGCGGAGCACAGGGACTGCACAGGCACGACCAAGTGATAAATACCCGGGGGTGGGGTGGGGTACCTCAGCCTGAATCCTCCTCCTCCCATGGCTTTCCACTGTCCTGTCACCAGGAGCAGGAGAGAAACAGACAGACGGACAGAAGGACAAAGACATAGAATCAAGGGCCATGACCTGCCAATAGGGCCTGGGATGCCTGTCACAGCTTGTGTGGAGGATACAAAGAACGCTCACGGTCTCTGCAGGTGGGGAGCTGACTACGAGCGGGGGGTGTGCAGGAGTGGGTAGAGGAGAGGATGTAAAGACAGGAGATTTGCGTCTCCCTTTGGGCAGCCTGAACTGGGACCTGGCCAAAGCCACTTCTTGGAAAGCGGCATCCGAGAGTGAAGTGTGATGAGTGGCACCTGCTGGCTCCAAGCCTCTGGTCTGTCTAAGGGCAGCAGGCTTCGGGGCTCCCCCATGCCACACCCCAGGACCCAGAGCCCTGTGAAGCAGGACTCAAGGGCTCCGGCACCCTGCCCTGAAGTCACACACCTGCTAGCAGCTTCGGCCCACCAGGAGGCAGCAAGTGCACTCACTGAGACTTCAGAGAAGCCACAATAGAGTTCCTGGGCTGGCTGGGATGTCACAGCCTTGTCCCCAGGAGGGTAGCCCCTGAGAGGTCTCAGGCCCACTCTAGAGCACACACCGGCTGGCTTTTTCCCCTGCTTGCAATGCCTTGGAACAGCTTCGACCCGAGACCCTCCGGAGAGCTGGAGCAGGTTGGCTAGTGGCCCTGGCCGTGTGGCCTGCATGTGACACAGCATGCAGAGCACACACAGTTGGCCAAGCTTCTGCTGTCTGTTCTAGAGAGAGTGAGGTCAGGTGGATGCTTCCAGGCCTGCACACGGGGCTGCCATGAGCAGCGTGTGACCAGCGTTGCCCTCGGCCCTTTTGCAGACTGCCATGGTGTGGTGGGGAACACAGGCTCCAGGTCCTGAGAGCTCACTCTGCCACCTGGGAGATGGGGGGCAGGGGGGTGGGGGTCTTCCTTTGTGAAGTAGGGACAATGGTCCTCACCCAGAGAGGTGACCTTGGGAAAGGAGCCTGGAATCCATGAGAGATGCATAGAAATGAATGAGTGTCACCCCACAGACCACAGGGCTGGAATGGGACACCGAATAGTCCCTCTCGTCCAGGACACGCAGAAGGTTCTGAGACACACTTGGAGCCCACACAGGGTTCATCCTGACCTGCAGCACACGGGCACAGTCCAGGGAGCTGAAACGGGGCCTCGAGAGCACTTGCTAGGGGAGAAAAGACCTTGAAGAAGCAAAGGGAAGGCCAGAGAAGGAGGGAAGAAGAGGTAAGGTCAAAGAGGCACTTGGGGGCCAGGGACTGATTGGGCCTTGGCCCTGAGAAGGCAGCATGCCTCTCAGTGGGTCAGCTGTCAGTGCAAGTTTCCAAAAGAGCGTGCCTCAGAGTTGCCTGCTCGCTGCGCCTTGGCTCGCGGAGACTGAGGTCTGGCTCCGGCCCCACCAACAAGGCTCGGTCCTTAATCTTGACAGAAACTAGTCTCTCTCTTCTCCACAAATTAGGAGAGCCGATCGGACTGGCTGGACAGCGCACCCCTTCCCAAGGCCTGTCTGTCCAAGCCTCGGCCGGACCCCAACACCTGTCCCTGAATGCCAGACAGGCGACCACAGCTCCAGGACAACCCCAGAGAAGGGAGTGGCTCCTTCCAACACACAGCAAGTTCGGAAACACAGATCAACCCCTAGTGACGGGAGGAAGAGAACAAGAGAAAGACTAGCTGCTTTTTCTCCACTTATTTTTGGCCTTCCTCTTGAGCTCCAGAGGATACTTTTTCCCCAGTTATGAGCTCAGGTTTCCTGCTGGGGAAGCCCTACAAAGGAGGCCCACAGAACCAATCATCCTGGTCAGAGAAAAATGGAGCCACTGGCTCCTTGACCCTGGCCTTGAGGCAGCAGAGCAAAGCCCTGTCCTGAAGCCTCTGGGTCCCTGATGGATCCACAGATAAAGGGGGGGGGGGGTTCAGGCTTCTCTCCACAGGCCGTAGCGTCTTTGAGGCTGCCACTCTTGGCCTGCTTTTGACAAGCACTGGGGAAAAGACAAAAAGCAGAGAAATTCAACCCCAGCCCACATGGGCCAAGGCCTTTTATCACTGGGTGGGGCCCTGCTGGCAGTGGGAGGAGGGTAGCCCTGGAGTGGGAAGGGCAGGCCGGGGTCTCTGAGTTCCATGTCGGGGTGGCCAGGATTCGGCTGGGCCACCTCCAGGTGAGGACAGTGTGTGAGGACAGCCCAAATGCCCCTCCAGTGCCAGCTTTAGCGAGGGCTGTTCCAGGGCTGTTACCTGTTTTCTCTACATTCATGGCTCCACCAGCTTCCTGGGCCTCCCGGTCCCGCCTGGGGGCCGGTGCCGGCGTCTTCACGACCTTCTCTTCCTTCGTCCCCTGACTCTTGTGTTCGCACCCCTTGTCCAGCAGGGCTTGCTGCCAAGACACAACCAGAATCCTCACGTGAAGGGGACTGCAGGCGGGAGGGGACCCCCTTAAGCCTGAGGATGGCGGGCTCCCGGAGCTGGGGAGCACCCCAGGCACAGGGATCCGCCCCCCGCTGTGTGAGTGAGGGACGACAACGAGGCCTGGGGTCTGGAAGGAAATATGCCCAGATGCCAGGACAGAATGGTGCCGGTGCATTCTCTTGGCCCCCTTTTGGCAGCCAGCTATCTGCACCAGCAAAGAAGGTTCTGGGGCACTTAGGAGTTCTCAGGTGAAGCTCACTGGGCTGTCCCTGAAGGCTCTGTGGGGTGGGGGTGACCAATGCAGCAGCCTACTTGCCTCAGGCCCATGGCCCCACTGTTCACAGGGCTGTCCAGCCCCACCAGGCACATGGCAATCTCAGGGCAACGCCCCCCACGATGTCAGCCGCCCCCACCTGCAGACGACACCAGCTCAGGACTGCCGAGAAGGGGGCACACAAATGCACACGAGCAGGGGAAGGCCACACTGCCCCCTTCTCCTGGTCAAGGAGAAACAGAGGTCAAGAAGGCTGAGGTAGAACAGACCGGTGGGCAGGCAGGGAGAGAGAGGGGGGAGCGGCAGGAAGAGCCGTCCAGAGAGACCCCCTGCAGCTCACACAGAAAGCCACCCAAAGCAGGCAGCAGAAGCACATGTAAAGTGCAATCCCATGTGAGGGTACGAGAGACAAAACAGGCCTTCAAAGAAATCTGAGGAACTGTATAAACAATGGTTCTCTCCGGCAGATCGGGTGATGCAGCAACTAGGACAACAGGCATCGCTTTTGGGGGAGTAAAAAGAAACTTAACTAAGAGAATGTGGAGAAAAAGGGCAAAGAGTCCTTACATTTCATTTTGAACCTGTTTTTAGTCTTATAAGCATCTATAATGTTCTGCTTTGTTTTCTTTCTTTCTTTTTTTTTTTAAATGTTTTTTTATTTATTTCTGAGAGAGAGAGAGATAGCGTGAGCAGAGGAGGGTCAGAGAGAGAGAGGGAGGTACAGAATCTGAAGCAGGCTCCAGGCTCTGAGCTAGCTGTCAGCACAGAGCCCAGAGTCCTATGTGGGGCTCGAACCCACGAACCATGAGATCACGACCTGAGCCGAAGTCGGTCACTTAACTGCCTGAGCCACCCAGGCGCTCCCTGCTTTGTTTTCTTAATGTCAACAGAAATCATCTGGGAAGGGGCATTACAGACACATTTGGGGTTTTTTTTGAGTTTTATTTATTTAAGTCCTCTCTACACCCAACGGGGAGCTCAAACTCATGACCCCGAGATCCAGGATCGCATACTCATGAGACTAAGAGCCAGCCGGGCGCCCCTCCAGACACGTTCCTGCGTGTCTTTGCACCCACTGTATTGGAAACGTGAGACAAATGCTCTGTCAGAAAGAATGTTCTGAGTCTAGAGTCGGCAAGGGCTGGGGTGAAAGCTGGCGGCGCCTCAGGTGAGCTGTGTGGCTCTGGGCAAGTGACTTAGCTTCTCTGAAGCTTCACTTCGCCGTTCTAACAAGAGGAATGGCACTAGCCACCTGATGTAGCTGGTGTGAAGGGTCACTGCAGGGACCCGGGCCAGGTGCCCAGAGCCCCTGGCCCACCAGGTAGCCACAAGCACTGCACAGTAGCTCTGCTGTACGCTTCCTTTTTTTTTTTTTTTTTTTTTTTTAACTTTTGTAACCCCAGATCCAATAAACAGAATGGAAAGGAAGAAAAGAGCAACATCGGCAGCCTCGTCCACCACCTCTGACTCCCTCTCTCTCTACCTCACACTCTACTTGAGAAGGGAGGGGGTGAGCACAATCTCTCGTATGGAGGAAAATCCCCCCCGCCCGACTTTATTTTGTCCCCACCCTTTGACCAACTGCCACACCATCACGAGCGGGCTTGTCAGCGGTGGCGGTGATGGCAGCAGCTGGAAGTTTCCAGTTGCCGACCAGAGCAAAGGTCACACTATTTTTGGCCTGTTGGCCAAGCCGCAGGAAGGGCAGCCGGGCCCCCAGGGGGGTTGGGGATTTCTGCATCGCCTCCAGAGGGAGCATCTCAGGTTTTAACTGCTTGACAGGCTGGGCAGGGGGGAGGTTCACTAAGCCTACCTGCTCACCCCACAGGGCCTGGCTCCCTCCTTCAGCCCCACATCGCTGACCTCGACGCAACTACAAACACGATAAGAGCTTCGTGGGGGCCCAGAGGACACCAACATGGAAACCGGTTGCTGACAGGAGCTTCTCAACAGATTCTCAGCAGATCTGCTGACCCCAGGACTCAGCAACAACCACAACCCAACACCCCGTAATCAAAAGTCAAGAACATAGCCACCGCCCAACTCCAGGCAGCCAAGTTTCTGACCACCTCCCGTTTTAACTACCAATGGCTCAAGTCAGAGCGGGGGAAAAAAAAGGGTTCTCTGGTTTCTTTAACTGTTCCCACACCAGATCTGCTTTTCTTGCAGACCCTTAAGATAAAAGAAAGACTGTTCAGTTCAGTTTGCAGATGAACCACACACGAAGGGCCGAGAAAAGCCCTGAAGCCCAAGAATGCTCCTGAACTGAAGCCACAACAAGCACTGGGCCACATTCAGATCAGGACTCGGGGCCACACATCGCCTATGAGGGAGGAGATGCCCTGAAAGGGCACCTGGGTTCCCCTGCACTACATCCTGCCCCCACGTGCCCATGTCCCTTCAAAGCAAGCGCTCTCGTGTGCCATCTTTTTTGGGCAGGGAGCTCTGCAGCCCGTCCACCTTAACTCTGGCCCTTCACACCCCCACCCCCACCCCGTGACTGTGTCAGCGCTCCGTGTCCGGGTTGCATTCATACACTTGATTATTCTGTGGCGCGTCTGCCAGGCTGTCAGGTCTCTTTCTCCGCTGGGTTTTGGGCCAGCACCTAGCACAGCACCTGGCACAGAGGAGGCACTTCCTAAGTATCTGCATTACTTTAAAAAGTGCAGCGCCTATGCCGTCCTTAAATTATTCAAAGCTTGCGAGAATGTATCGATATGCAAGGAGCTCACTGAAACCAGAAATAATACAGAGCCCCAGTTAGACAACTTATGGTAAACCCTGATGTGCACTATTATGAAGCAGCTTAAAAGAATGGGGTAGTTCTCTGTATATTGACATGCATGAAGAAATCACCAACATTTTCTGTTGAAAGAGCTAGTCACAGAATAATTTGAAAAAAATAAATAATGAAATTGTATAAATATAATTAAGTGATATAGGAAAGATACATAAACACCAAACCCTTAAGACTGGATTTCTCAAAAGATATAGGACTAGAATAAACACTCAGTTTCTAGATGTTATATCACTGTGTGAATTCTTTACACCATATGTTACTGAGCTCGTCATGCTTAGCTATTCAGATCCAGGCTTGCTGTGTGACCAGTAGCAAGTTACTTAACCTCTCTGGGCCTCCATTACTTCATCTATGCAAGTCCGATAAAACACTAACTGTGTCTTGAGGTTGTTATGAGCATCATGAGCACTGATGTGAGGTATATAATACATGGTACCAGTGCCAGGTACAAAATCAGTGTTCAATAAACAGCAGCTATTCTTATTATCATTATGTATTAGCTCTAAAACCAAATATACAAATACATACATATATACATACATATATATATATATATATGAAATTTGTCTTTTGAAAGTCACTTGGAGACTTGAGAGAGAAAAGAACCCAAGTTTTGGCAAAGTCCTCTGTCTAGCTTTGGAGTCTCATGTTAAATAGGAAATACAAGTATTGCCCCACGGACAAACATGCTTGAGTGGGAATTAACAGCTACCCCAAAACCTGCCTGTTTTCCTAATAGTTTCTCAGCAAAGGCCCACAGTTCTCACTTTAACGTCTCAGCCAGGGTGTGGCTGAAAAGTTTCTGTCATCTGCTCTGCGATTTTCCCCAAGATAACCTAATAAAGCAAATTGCTCCATCCGTGCTCCGTGCACTGTGAGGAGCTTAGCAAAGAGGCACAAGGCAGGCCCCTGGCTCTCTCTCTCAGTGCTCTCTTCCCCAGAGAGCCCCTGCTCTCTGTTGGGGCCCCTGCTGCTGGGAGCTCAAAGGGCAAAGACACAGCAGCCTGGCGCAGGCCCTCGCCTTCCCGAAGGCCCCGGTGCTTACCTGCACGGTCAGGTAGAGCCTGTGGGGGCTCCCGGGGCCTGCCCAGTCCACGCTGAGGGCCCGGCACTGAGCTAGGGCCGGGCGAACTGCACTTCGGGCGCCGGAGTCCTCGTCACCGCTGACTGGGGAATCTTTTCCACGGCCTGTCCCGGGACAGAGAGTACAGGTAAGATGCTAGGCCGCTGGCTGAAGACTGTTGGCCAGGACCGCTGGCCAGGGCCGCGGCTGAGCTCTGCTCCCCTACACTGTGGGCTGGCCCTGGCGCGGCCAGGAGGGACTCACACGCCCTCACACGCCTGACCTGCTCAGAGGGAAGGCCTGGCACCAGGCAGGGGCTGTGCTCCTTTCTTCCCAAAAGCCACCCCAAGCTTCTCTTCGGGAAGGCGCCCAAGGCCTCTGGGGCAGGAGGGGTGCTCCCCACCGTCCGCAGTGGATTTGGGGGCTGGCACTTGCTCATGAACACTCTCTACAGAGAGCAGCAAAGGGAAACCGATGCCAACCTGGCTGTGCCAACCTTCACAGGAGGTGCACCCCAGGGCTGTGGCTTTATTACCAAGGCTGCCTCTAGGTGGCAATTTCTCCCCTGCCTTCACAAAGACCAGCCCCACACTGGGTGGCCCGGTCCCTGCAGCCTCCAAAAGCATCTTCAGGACCAGCTAAAGCACATCCCCTTGAGCCTCTGACATGCTGCCCCCCTCGCCGACGCAGAGAGAGCTGACTGTGCTAGGGGTGTCCCGTGCACCCCACCTCAGCCCCCCACCACAGCCTGTGAGCTGGGACGGGATGGGGGAGGCGGCAAGCTGCAGAGCCAGCACACCCGGGTGTAGTAACATCCTGGACCAAGCGCTTTCGAGACCTTAATGCCCTTTCTAATCCTCAATTTCTTTGTCAAGAATATGGGGATAAGGAAGCAAGCTCATAGTCCTGTGGCAAGGGCTAAATGGAATGACACACATAAAGTGCTCACACTGTGCCAGGTACACAGAAAGCGGCCACAAATGCAGGCCGTTAGGACGTGCCCAGGGTCACACTGAGCCAGGAGTCCAATCCCATGTGCTAACCCACCCTGTTTGCCTATCCCTCTGAAGGTGGTGATAAGAGTGGGGACAGAGGGGCTGGAGTGGGCAGGGGTGACCTAGCTGGCTGGAGCCCTACTCAGTGGCAGGCACTCTGCTTAGCAGTTCACACTCAGGATTTCATTTGACCTTTGTCTTAAATTTTCAAAGTGGCTAAGTCTTCTTAACACTCACTTATTAGACCAATATGCATGCATGTGCACATACACAAGCCTGGAAGGAACTATATAAAATGTTCACTAAGGACCTTATAAGTACTTTTTATTTTATTTTTTATACTTTTTCTGTGTGTTTCTGTGTTCTTGATTTCTCGAGGGTTTTTTTTTTTTTTTTAGTGTTCTAAGGGAACATGTGTTTTGTTTTCTTTTTGCTCTTTTTTTTTTTTTACAGAAAAGCAATACTCATTCATATTATATTTGTAATCCTTAGACAACCTTGTGGAATACAGACCATCTTCATTCCCTTCTAGACAATTCAGGCTATCTGACCCCAAAAGTTTAAGCTTTTCCCAGATACCCCCCGGGCCATCCCCAGCTTCACTGTCCCTACAGAGAGACTTTGGAGAGTATCACTCTGGCCGCCACCCGTGGCACAAATGTGGGGGGAGAGAGGGAACTGAACAGGAATTTGCTGTGTGCCCTCTCTGAGCCTCAGCTTCCCCTTCTGTACATCAGAAGGCTTGGATCTGATGGCCCAGAGGGGCTCTACTAGTTCAGACAGGTCATCTGTGGGTCAGGAACAACAGACAGCAAGCCTTCGAAGACACCTTGACTGAAGACCTCTCTGTCCCTCCACACTTCCATGGAGACTTGCCCAAGCTCAGCTCGGGAGGCCGTCATGAGGCAGCCTCCCAGACCCGGTGATCCAGCCCGCATCAGAAATCAGAGGTGCAGCTCACTTATTGGCGTGTGAGGCACCAGGGGACATGACCCAGAAAAGAGAGCTGGTGGTGACACTCCCCCAGGGGGCAGCGGGGGCCCAGACTCAAAAACTCCTTCACTGCCCACCTGCTGTCGGGGCCCCTACAGGATCTGCCCCGGATGGCACCCAAACTCCTCGGGGCCACGCTCCCGCACAGCTTCGGTCCGCTCCTCGCGTCCCCCCGCGGACCGGCCGGCCGATCAGGTGTCAGCGCCGCGCCGGGCACCGGGCTGCCACTTCACCTACCTTGTTTACCCCAGCCGCGGGCAGAAACCGGAGCGAGACCGCGAGCGCTCGGCCAAGGACCAAGGACGGGCCGCCAGCGCAGCGCCCCGACCCGGCTGGCCGGAGATCGCGTGGTTTGGGCGGCGTTGTCCCCCGGCTCCAGGGACCGCGTTGAAGTTTAACTCGGCGTCCGGGACCTCTCTTTACTGGCGGGCGCGGGGCAGGAGCGCCGGCGGGACTGACGCCCCGACTCCGACTCCGCGCCGGCCCGCGGGCTGCCGGGCACCCTGTAATTACCTGACAGCTCTGACTGAGCCTAGGAACTTGCGAGAAAGCCCGGCCTCATCTCTGCTATCTGGAGGAAGGAAGGGAAATAAAGAGGCATTTTAAAAATGCGGACTCACCAGTTCTCAACCTCCCCGGGCCGGTGTGTGGGAAAGGGCGGGCGGCCGGGCTGGCGGGGGCGGGGCGAGCCATCCCGGGCTCGAGCTCCCCGGCCCGGCCCACTCTCCACAGGCCGCGCAGCGAGGGCGTGGCTCCCAGGTTCCACGGCCGGCGAGACGGGACCATGGCCCGGGGCTCAGCGGCCTCCTCGGGGCGCCGGGCAGCCTGCGGACAGAACGGGGGAGGCGAGACTGAGCCGGCCGGCCGGCACCCGGGGGGCCGATCGGAGCCCGCCATCCGCAATGGGGTCACCTGTCACCCAGAAGGGCAGCCCCAACTCCAATTCCAACCCCCCCCCCGTCCCACCTCAAAGATCCCCGGGGGCTTAAGGGATAAAACAGAGCCCGGCACCATTCAGGGTGCTTTTTTTTCCCAAGTAGGGAGGCTCAGAAGTGGGTGAGGAGCCCATCAGGTGTGTCTGCGCACTGTGGAGACCTCACATCTCAGCCCCTCCACTGGAAGTGTGGCAGCCTCTGCACCAGGTCACAGGCCCACAGAGAGGAAGCAAAAGTCAACAGCACCTCCGTAAATCTAATCGGAAGGGAAATGACTGTGGCCAGTGACAAGCTAAGCTTATATATAACAAATTCTCTTAAAGTCCACTCATTCATGTATTCAACTAGGTTTCACTCCGTGCCTACAACTTGGCAGGCAGTAAGAGACAAAGATTCATTCCTTCTTCATTTAATAATTATTTATCTGGTGCCTGCTGTGTGTCAGGCACCTACCAGGGGTCCTCTTTGATCAGGAGAAATGGGGCCTCAAAGCTCCCTGTCAGGAGGGAGGTAAGCACTTCCACAAATCTTCGCGATCAGAACAGGAATGCAGGGAAGCACCAGGTGGTATGGGAGAGTGGGGGTGGGGGTGGGGAGCACTGGTCTGGATAGAAAGCCTCAGAGGTCCCTCAGAAACTGAGCAGATAACAGAAGACCGACTTTAAGCACTCACGGCACAAGTCTTTATTGAGCACCTATCATGTGCAAAGCAGCTGTAAGGGCATTTAAAGTACCGAGCTACAGTTCCAGACTTAGACAGTGATGCCATTAACAGAAGAAGCCAAATCAGCCCAGAGAGGTGGTGTGGAATTTGCTTTTGGATTTAAAATGGAGTTTCAGGCACCCAAAGACTTCCTAATGGCGCGACCTGGGCCACAGACCACTTTCTACCTGACAGTAAAGATTATCTGTTTGATGGATGTCCACTCCCCTGACCCTCGATGGCTCCCCAGGGTGGGGCCCACAGCACGGCCATCTGTGCACCCCCGTATCACCCAGCCTGGAGCTGTAGCAACATCCACACCATGCTCAGGGCAACGACTTGATGGGTGAATGCCCTGAAATAAATGCAGACAAAAGCTCAGATTGCACCTTGGAAGAAAACAAGGAGACCCAGAGGTGAGAGGCTACTGAGGGTCCCAATGCCACAGGCGAGGACACAATCACTCAAGGTGGTACTAGAAGAAACCAAGGACAAAGCTCACTGTGGGTGGTAAGGAAAACTGGAGAAGTAAGGTCAAAGGTGGCAACAGCACCAGGCAGGTGCAGAGTCCTCAGACGTGACTGGATGGTGAGTGGGAAGGAGACAGTTGGTTCCCAGTGAGTGACACCACAGAGAGGTCAAGCTGGAAGAAAGCCGCTGGGGCTCCCTGAGGAGCGTATCCATGGAGCAGGGCAGAGGGCGGGCCTGGGAAGGCCCAAGAGGCGGGCAGGGCTGAAGGAAGCCGCCACTTCCTTCTCTGGGGAAGTCTGGCTAGGGTGTGCAGGAGAGGCTGAATTCAGAGGATGTGGTGTTTAGAACAGGAGAGGTCTGAGCATGCTGGGTCAGCGGGGCCAGGGACAGCTGAAGCACGCAGGGGCGAAAGAAGTAAGAGTGCAGGGGTGAGTGGCAGAAGATCTGGTGACCGAAGGTCACAGAGCGGGGCTCTGGAAGAATGCCAGGCGCCTGGACTGAGGAAGACAACTTGGAAGAGGCTCCTGGGTACAGTGTTACTGGACTGTGGGCCAAAGGACAGGGCAGACACTAATCCAAATATGTGTACCAGCTCCCACTGAGGAAATGGAGGTGGACCGGTGTGGAGTGGAAGGGACCGGGGGAATAGCCAGATGTCCTTTGCTCCAGGTTCCTTGGCATGGAGCTGGGCACACAACCAACCCCGAGGACCAGCTGCAATGGGCAAGGAGGGAGAGAGATGGGCTTCACGTGCATGCCAAGCTGCTGGAAAGGTGAGATGGGCACTGAAGGTCAATTCCATGGGTGGGGGAGAAGACTTTTAAGGAGATGTCTAAGTCTGAGGGGTGGGGACAGGAGGAGACAATATTTCTGCGGCTTTCTGGAAGGGAAGTAGAGAGGCAGCCAGGAAGATACCAGGAAGAAAGAGGAAGGGTGTGTGCAAGATCCTGAAGAGGAAAAAGCAGCTGAATTTAGCAGCCAGAGGGTGGGAAGGTCAAAAGTATCCAGGACTCAAATAAGCCCAAGGCTGGGGCTTCTACCAATTTAGGACTCATGGGGTGGGGCAATGGGGACATGTAGTGGAGTGGCTACAACCAAAAGCTGGTTTAGACCCAGCTCTGCCACTTACTAGATGCGTGACCTTGGGAGAATTACTTTCCCTCTCTGTGCCATTGTCTCCATCTGAAAATGGGGAGAACTCCCCTTCTAGGGTTATAAGAACGAGACAAAGCATATATAAAATGTTCAGAACAATACTGGCATATACAAGGAACCAAAAATCTTTTGCAGTGCTCGCCCCCTCTCCAGTGGTGAGTGAATGCAGAGGGGCTGGCGTGGAGAGACGACCAGATTTGCCCCTTTGTTTAGGCTATGGCAGTAGAGTGCAGCCCCCGCTGCCCCCCACCCCCCAGACCAGGGATATTGCAATGACTGAGGGACAGATCTGACAACTGCCCAGATACTGCTGCTGGGGAGGGCTTAGTCTCCCTGGGGGAGAAGGTCAGGGAGGTGGGACAGGGCCCTCCCCTGCACACAGTCACACATTCTGGGTTTTCAATGACAACACAGACTTCAAAACCTCGGCTCCATAAGGACAGCAGAACTCATCACCCTATGTTCCTAAAGTCCAGTCACTGCAAATACAGGGCCCCATTCTGAGGCTGCATTCCTTGCAAATAACTCTCCCTGACCAAGGAGACGGCTACTTTGTCAAGGGCATGGGGAGTGTGCCTGGGCAAGGAGAGGTGCTCACCCAGCGTGAGGGCGGAGGAAGGTGAAAGGTCAGGGATAGCTGACCCACAACCTTGAGACAGATAGGTCGGGGACTGGGGGAGTACTTGAGAATTTAAATACAGCTTCCGCTTTAAAATCTCCCAGGACCAGGCCCTTCACTGCGCCAGAGTTCTGCTCTAACTCACAACAGGGGGTTGAAGGAGGTGGTTTCTTTCTGGCTTGCTCACCCTACTGGGATCCCCTAGGCTGCTGCTGTCAGTGGCTCAATTCCCTGCTGCCCAGGGGGGCACTGGCCCAGGCCCTCCTACCAACCTCAGGCTGGCCTGCCCTCCCCATGCCCTTGGCGGGGGGGGGGCGGGAAGCAACTGCCCAGGGAATGTAAGTGGTGGGAGGGCTGGAAGCTGCGGCCTTCAGGAAATCCCTGGGGGTACAGGGGAATCTCTGCAAAGGGGGGAGGGGGGCGCGGTCGGGACACGCGGTTCCCGGGGTAGGTTCTGGCTCTCCTGAGCCAAAGAGATGGGGGGGGGGGAGGGCGGGAGCGGAGGTCCCGAGGCTGCTCCGAACCCAGGGGACGTGCCTCTCCAAGCCGTGCTGCGGGCAAGCCTGGACGGCGCGGGGGGCGGCGGGCGACTGAGCAGGGCTGGTTCTCCCGGGCCCGCCCGGCCTTCCCCGCGCCCCGCAGCGGGTCCGGGCAGGGGAGGGGGGTCCTGCGGGCAGGGCGGGCCCGGACGCGGCGCCGGGAATAGCGGGCCGGGCAGACCCCGAGAGCCCAGCCCGGCCCCCGCCCGCCAGGGTCCCCGACTCACCGGCCAGGCGGAGGCAGAATCCCGGCGTCGCCGCAGAGCCCGGGGCTCGGCCCGACCCGACCCGCCGGCGGGAGGCAGCTCCACGCCGCCGCCGCCGCCTCCTCGGCCCGCCCCGCTCCCGCCCCTCCCGCACACTTTCCACAGGAAATGATTAACTCGGGCCGCGGCGCGTTCCCATGGCAACCGGCTCCTTCCCAGGCGGGGGTCAGCGGCGCGCGCGCGCGCTCCCGCTAACCCTAACTCTCCCGCGCGTGCTCACGCTAACACGCGCGGCCGCCCACACAGCGACAGCTTCTCTGCTCCGCCCAGAGGTTCCGCCGGGACCCGGGGGCCCCACGCCCCGCACGCGTTAGTGCACACCTGCGCGCACGCCCACTGGTAGTGCACACGGAGCGTCATACATGCTCGTGCTTTCGTGTACGGGCTCTCGTAAGCCAGTATACACCTCCCTCACACATGCCTTCACATGTTCACACGTGCTCTCGTCCGCACACACGTCCCCACGCTAGTCCTACGTACGTGCCTTTGCACTTATGCTTCCACTCCGACATGCACACCTGCCAACCCTCGTACGGAACTTTCACACACACTCGTTACTATTCACACTTAGGCTTTTCTGCCCTGTCCTTCACAAGCTCTCACACGAGCACATGTTTTCTTGACATTCTAACACACACGGTTTCACACGCTCTAGATGGTACATGTGTACACTTCCACATGCTTCCCCACTTTACACACCCACTCACGTCATGCTGTGGTGCTCACTCTCATGCTTCCCCACAAGTGGTCTGCGTGTGCCTCAGTGCACACGTACCCTTCTTGCTCACACGTGTTCTCTCACACTGTAGCATACACATCTTTTTTTTTTAATTTTTTTTTATTTATTTCTGAGAGAGAGAGAGAGACAAACAGGGGAGGGTCAGAGAGAGAGAGGGAGACACAGAATCTCAAGACGGGCTCCAGGCTCTGAGCTGGCTGTCAGCACAGAGCCTGACGCGGGGCTCAAACCCACAAACCGTGAGATCATGACCTGAGCTGAAGTCGGACCCTTAACCGACTGAGCCACCCAGGCGCCCCAGCATACACATCCTTTTAAACCCAAGTCCGCGCTTTCATACACATTCTCTCACACTCGGGTTAGCATGCCTACGTACACATGCGTGTCACACGTTATCACTCGTGTATGCACACATGCTCTCACTAGCTCTAGGAGGAATACACAGCCTGGTTGCCTCCCACAGCACCACCCCCAAATTAACATCTTCCAGGGCTTAAGGTGTTTTAAGGTAAAATATTCCTTTAAGCTCCAGTGAAAACACGTCCAGAATGCCCGCTCTGAAGCAGGCAGCAGCTCCCAGGGAGGCCCAGAAGTCCCTCCTTGCGTCTCAGAAGAGCCACAGGGAGCCTGCCAGCCAAGGAGAGACAGCTGACCCAGAGGAGCTTACTGTGTTCTTTGTCTCCCCAACAGAGGCGGCATTTTACCCCAGTCTGGGGCAGTGTTCTCCCTCCAGGGTGCAGGAGGAGAGAAAAGCTCAGAAGCCCGCCCAGTGCTGGCTGATGGTTCTGCAGATAATCGGCAAGGGGTGGCCACTTGGCTCTTTCCCGCTTCGCAGGTCGTGGCCCAAGAGGTGCAAGGAGGGGATCCCAGTGGGGCCTGCAGATTAAGGGGAATTCTGTCTCCTGCCGCTCTAGACACTGGGCGGGCAGTCAAGAATCTCAGCCGGAACCGTAGCCAAGGGCCTGGGCCTCGGATTGTTCTGGATGCCAGAACAGGACACTCACAATCCCCCTACTGGAAGTGGGCTAAATGTGTTTTATTTTCTAGCTGAGCCTTCCAAGTGAAGGCCCAGCAGAGGATAAATGTCACTCTCCCGGAACGGTTCCTCAGAGAGTTACAGATTTCCAACTAAGAACCCCAGATAACCTCCCAATAGGAGAGAAGTCTGTAATTGGAGAGTTACCTTCTCTGAACCCCCTTGCCTGCTCTCCAGACAAGAGTGGTCAGGGGGACGGGTAAGGTTGGATGAGGGCAGAATTTCTCTAGAATCCTGCCCAAACATCTCCCATTGCTACAGTCTATGTTATTTGATAGTCTTTAAAGTCCTCATATGGAACTGGAGGCCTTGTCTAACTTGCAGGCTGGTGACATTAACTGCAGGTTCCTTCCAACAAAGCCAAAGAGAGACTTTAAAATTAATAATAACATTTATTGTTCGTTTTCTCTGATTGCAAAAGTAATAAGTGTTCATTGTAACCATAATTCCACCCCCTAGAGATAAACGCTGCCAACATTTTAGTAGTCTTTTTTTTTTTTTTTTGTATGCACATAATAGCTACCATTTATCCAAAGCTAACACTGTGCCAGGCACCGGGCTAAGCTCTTTATAAACAAGATCCCACTTAACCCTGAACACCCTAGGAGGTGGACACCACTGTATCCCCAGTTTTCAGGAGAGGAAACTGAGGCTCCGATAGTTCATTCACAAACCCAGTGTGTAATAGAGCTGAGATATGAGCCTAATAGTGTGTATGTATACATACAATACGGTCATATGTAATGAGTTTCAGATATCAGATACAAGAGTTTGTGGACATCAAAGCACCAAGGAAGAAAATTGAGGTATTAGATGGAGACATTTTTGGAGTTCTCACAAAATTCTGACTTGAAATGTAAAAGGAAATTGCTTATGATTGTTGGAATTTAATTTAAAATATAAAATGTCACCAGGAACTACATACCAATGGCTTCAAGGTCATTTCTATTCCAGAAACTTCGCTGATGGTTTGATGTGCAGGCCACAAACTCTCTCCTGGCCACAGGGAAGGTAGAGATTTGCCAGAAACCTGGCCATCCCAATGCCGAAGTCCTGAACCCAGGAGTCAGGACTCTTCCGTTCAGCCTTTGGCCTTGACCTTCTGCCCACCTTCTGACAGAAATATAGAAATATAGGAAGGGCCACACAAGACGCAGTGAGCAGAATGGAGCAGAAACCACATTCATATCCACCCTGTCCTCCAGCCAGGGGACACCAGCACCATCTCTGTGTTCAAAGAGCCTGAAACTCCTCTCTCAGGTCTCTGTCTGAGAGGTAGCCACGGGCACAGAGTTCTACCATCCAGAGGGAAGTAAAGAGGGGAGAATAGCATGGATTGGATTTGATCTGGTTCTCACAGCAACCTAGAGTAAAGCCCACGTAAGATTTACATGATTCTCCAATTTTAATGATTGGCCTTGAGATTCAATCACCTCCAGGCCTTTGCAATGCTGTTCTGCTCGGAGGGCCTCTCTCCTTTCCCCCTACTCCCACCTGGCTGACTTCTGCTTATTCAAGTCCTTAAAGCTTAGAGGACATGCTCTTTGACCCTTGCAGGAACTCTATCTCCCGATTGCCCATCCCCCCACCACACCACGACACTGGATTATAATGGCCTCTTTGGTCTACGTTGCTCTTGGAGGGCAAGGCCCTTTCCTGACTTGATCCAAGGAAAACCCCTACAGTAGAGCCTGGTATCACGTGTTTTCATTGACTACATAAATAGATAACATGTAATTCAGAGGGGAAGAACAGGTACATTAAAGCATATGCAAACAGGCTTTCTTCTTGTGTAAGTTAATGATAATTCTTATCAAAAGGAGATAAGAGATCAATCCTTAAACAATTACTTCAATGTGGTCAATAAGGAGCACCCTGCGCTTGTGAAAAGTATATATCCTTGCACGATTCTGGGTAACAGTTTCTTGAAGTTGGAGAGCAACATTCTAGAGTTAGGAGTCAAATATTTAAGTAATCCTGACTCAATTAGCCACTGTTTTGAATCCACGTGTTCTAGCGCTCCTGAAATAGTTCATTATGGACAGCGCGGAAAGAGCTGGGGAAAATCCCATGGAGGGAAGAGGCTGGGTTCTGGAGCCAGCCCTGCAAGCATGAATTTGACTCCCAGCTGCAGGACTTTGTAGCTTAACCTCTGAGCATATTGGGGGGTGGGGGGGAGGGGGCACTGGTTCTTGGCTCACACCTGCCGGCTTTCAGGAAGCCACGCTCCTCAGTGGACATGAAAGGGTGGGGTCTTGCACAACCCTTGGCTGGTCTGTAAATTCCTGTCGTTCTCATCTGTTACACACTAAACTCTAGGCACTAGGTGCTCAATAGCCACTTGAACAATTGGTACTCTCTCTCCTCTCCCTTCCAGCTCCCTCTGTGCACCGCCCTCCACTCCTGACCAAGGGTGCCTTCTTTCTAAAAGCTGTATTAACAGGGAAAACAGTTCTCCTATTTACAAAGGTCTCTGCAGGGAACCAAGCAACTCTCCCCTCAATAAAACCACCTTCCCTCAGAATGTCTAGACAGTGACTACCTTTCTGCATTTGCCAGGGAGATTGGACCCAGCCTTGCCTCCCTGGGCTCTCAGGTGAGGGTAACCTGAAACCTCTTCCTGACCTGAGAAAGAATTTGGCAGATACCTCTCCTGGCACTCCAGGGTGATAAGCAAACAGAGGGTTTTTTTTTTTCCGTTATCATTTCCTGTAGTCTAAAAAATGAGAGGAATGCAAACACTGAGAAGATATGTTCTCATGCACCAGGTAATAAAAAGATTTAGCAAGAAAGGCCATGAGAGATGAGCCCTGCCCCTGCCCCTCCTCCCTGAGTCAGCGCAACCTGCCTGCCGACCATCCAGAAGCCTCCAGAAGCCGCCTGGGCTTCTTCACCCAAACGCTCCCCCCCACCCCCGACCACGCTTCGCTTCTTGCTCCTAAATCATTCTATCTCCTTATTTGAAGCCAAGGCATGCATTATTAACATCGTTCCCACTTTTTTTCAGCTTCTCCATTCATTTCTACCCATCTGCTGCAAATTCTAGGTGGCTGGCATTTTTTTCATTTTTTTTTCCCTGCACAAATGTGGTAGAGACCAAGAGAGGAAGAAAAGAAAAAACAAACAAACCCAGATCCCACCACCCTTATCGTTATTGGCCCAGATTTTCTTTTCAGTATTTGACCTTGAGCAAACATTATTTCTCGATTAAGAGGAGACAATATAGGACAATGGTTGAAACTGGGTTTAGGGGTCGGGTGGTCCTAGGTTTGAACCCTGGCTCAATCACTTCTTCTGTGCCTCAGTTTCTTCCTGTGACAATGGCAGTAGCCGTGATACCTAACCCCGTGGATTGTAGTGAGGAGTGAACATGAGCCCAGCATCTCGCACGCGGGCGGTAATCCACAAACACTAGCTTGCGTATAGTGGGAGGCAGAGTGTGAATACAATCTTCTACTTTGCCTTTCCTCACTTAAAGTCGTATAATAAGCATTTCCCGAGTTACTTGTTTCTACTATGTCCTGCTCTTTTCTGAACGACATGCCCCAGACTGAGGATAAAGCCAGATCCCATTCAGCTTTGGGATCCTAGTGTCTGGGGACACACCCAGCACTCAGACTGGAAAGAATAATCTTTTTCTTTTATCTTTCTTTCTTTTTTAAAAGGAATCTCTGCACCCAATGTGGGGCTCAAACTCCCCACCCCAAGATCAAGAGTCACATGCTCTACGGATTGAGCCAGCCAGGCACCTGGAAAGAATAATCATTTTAAATAACTGCATAATATTCCCTGAATGTCTGTGCCCCCACTGAGCTGACCATCCTGTGAGGTCAGATATGTGAGTAGCTGCCAAATGTCCACTTGTATCAACAGCCTTGCTACTGACATCTCCCCACACGCAGCCTGTTCATTCCCAGGGGGAGGGGGTGTTGTTAATTTCATAAATGCTTTCTGAATAAAGAGTCTGAGCATTTTTTTTACACATTCTAAACATGTTGCCAGATTGCCATCAGAAGGGGCTGTACCAAATTTACACTTTATGCTCTCGTCGGTAGCAATTTTGACGAGAACTACTTCTTACGCTAATTTGCAGTTTTCCTCATGGATCTGAAATTCCAGCCCTGGCTGGTTCCCCTGTGCGGCACGAGGCGTATAAAAAGATGTCTGAATGATGGCTGTCAAGAGGGAGGAGTGTCTGGTTTGTTTGCGGTGTCTCCGTCGACTGGGCTGGGCCGGGTGGGGCTGGGAGCACTGAGTCAGAGCACCCTCTCCCTGCCTGCCCAGGTGGGTCCTGAGACATCCCGCAACCCTGGGAGATTCCCTTCAGGTGACCCTTAGTGTTACTAGGGTTATCTCTGCTCTGACACCAGCCAGGCACTTCACTGTGGCTTCTTAGAGTAACTCACTCTTGGAAAGAGAATCCCTCAAGAGGCTCTGGGATCTGCATTCAGCTTTCCAGTCCTGGTGGGGCAGGAGGGGGGACACAGAGCGGCCTCCAGGTACAGGAAGCCGTGTGTTCTGCAGCCACAGCTCTGGACCACCCAGACTGTCTCCTGGCACTGCCCGCAAGGCTCGCCGAGGTTCTGCGCAGCCCCGAGGCCTGCCCACCCCCCCCCACCCGCACCTGACTCTGGTCCTCCCTGGGGGTGGCCCTTGTTTGCAAACAGCCACAGGAAGTTTTGACGCTGTTGATTAACCAGACTCCCACGGCTCTGGATTCTTAGTCATCACGGCAAGTCTCAACCTTCAGCCTGCCCTGCCGACATCACCAGCTTCGAGGTGACGGGGAAGAAGTGACTAGGAGCCGGCTAGTTTCAGTGACTTTCATCCGTCATCTTGGGGGTGGAGATGGGGGGAGGCGGGAGAGAGAAATGCCACCCATTCCAAACAGCCCGAACTAATGCACACTGGGCCTGGAAGGCCATAGTGGGAATTTAATCTAAATTGATTTGGTTTGCCTTCGCTGAGAGACAGCTATGTGTTTTGACCATGAAAACCGCAGGCCCGAATGTAGTCACTCATGTCAGAGGCCCTGTATCAGTACACCAGGACTTAAACTTGATCTGACTACTGTTTCCACTCCCCCACCCCCAGGAATGTAATCTTTAACCTGTCAATATAGGAATTTGCTGATTAGCACTAGATTTACTGATAGACCCCTCCTGTACACCTTAGAAAGGTGACCTTGACTAAAACTGCATGCTTTGCTAATTAATAATTTCTTCTTTCCTTATTCCCTCTCTGCCTTTAAAAGCCTTCTTGTCTGTAGTTCAACAGTTCCTTTCGATTTGCTACATAGGATGCTACCCGATTCACCAATCACTAAATAAAGCCTGTCTGATCTTTAAATTTATTCAGATGAATTTGTGGTTTTATTTATATGTTTAAAAATATTTTAAATATTTAATATTTATATAAATTATATTTATATTAAAATGTATATAAATATTTAATATTTATTTTGAGAGAAAGCGAGAGCAAGGGAGGGACAGAAAGAGAATCTCAAACAGGCTCTGCACTGTCAGCGCAGAGCCCGACAGGGACTCAAACCCACGAGCTGCAAGATCAAGATTAAGCCCAAGTCAGATGCTTAACTGACTGAGCTATGCAAGTGCCCCGAATTTTGTTTTTTAACAGTGCCATGCACTGGGCTAAACTCTTTACACAAAGGATTGTTTTTGGTTTCATTTAATCCTCTCAACAACATGGGCAACGTTATCATCCCATCTTACAGATGGAGAAACTGAGGTACTATGTTTTAAGAATGGCTACAGGGAGGCCTGTGCATGAGTAGAGGGCAGCTGTGGGAAGATGGCTTTGGGCGCCAGAAAAGTCAGGGGCTCTGGGGCAGGAGGCCTTGTTCTGCAAGGACCTCGGGCAGATTTCCTCCCCTGCTCTGGGTCTCATGTCCCTCCCTGGGTAAATGGGAAGAGTGGGCTAGTGACCTTCCCAGCACTGCTGCCACAAAGGAGGGAGTGAGCAAAGTGGCAGGGATGACTCCGAGATTCTGCCTGCAGAAGGCCTAGGTCAAGGGAGGGGTCATTCCAGCCTGGGGTTCTGCCTTCACTGTTCACAAGTCACTTCACAAATAAGCGCCAGCAAGAGTAAGGAGATTAGTGGTTGGGGGCAGGGGTGGGGATGGGGAGTGACTGCTAATGGGGTTCCTTTCGGGGGTGATGAAATGTTCTGTAATCAGATTGTGGTGATAGTTGCACAACCCTGCAAATATGCGAAAACCTTTGCACCGTGCACTTTAAATGGGTGAATGTTATGGTATGTTAATTACATCCCAATAAAGCTGCTGAAGACAGGGAGGAAGAAAGGAAAGTAGGAAGGAAGGAAGGGAAAGAGGAGGGCGGGAGGGAGCGAGGAGACCCGCATAGAGGTTGGGCCAGAGCTCTGCCTTTGGGATTTGCCTCCTGGGAGTTGGACCCTCAGCAGCCAGCCCTTCCCCAGTTCTCCCTCCTCCAAGCACCCACGCTCCAGAGCCTAGGGAGGGTGTCTGTGAGGAAGGCACCCAAGTGGCAGGAGATGGCTCCACGTTCTGACCGGAAGTGTCAGGAGCTCCTGGTCTCCTTGAAGTCAGAAGGACACATGAATCAAAGAGCAGGTGCAGAGCTGGAGGAACTGGGGAAGTGGAGTGCGGATGCCAAGAAAATGGATGAAGGCCAAAGCAGAGGGAGGTGTCCAGGAGGCGGCCCTGAGCCGGGGCACGGTGCTGCTCAGATCGGGAGGGCCCAGACCCAGGCCCTGGCTGCGAAGCATGGGCCGGCCAGGGGCTCTCTCTCGGTTGCTTGGAAACAATGCGGCGCACCAGCAAGTGAGCACAGGAAATACCTGCGCTCCCGCCCCCCGCCCTGCAACTGGTCCAGCTGTCTCCTGCTTGGCAGCACTGGCGAATGCAGTCAGATGCAGCTGTCCCAGAGGCAGTGGCAGCCTGGACTTGACCCTGAGCCAGGTGCGCCGGTGCAGGGGACCCAAAATGAGGGCAAAATTGGCCACTAAGAGGTAGGAGCTCAAGCCATGCCTGTTGTTAGGGCAGCTTACTGTTGAAAAAGGAGATGCCCAGAGGGTTTGGGAGGCACAGCCTTGGGGCCTCATGGAGCAGAAGAAGCTACATCTTGAAGGCTATAATCACCTTCTGAGTGTCTCGGCCTTTAGGTGAAACCCGCATGCCTGCCAAGCGCCTGTTTGTCAATAATTAGGATCTTGCTCGGCTCTGAAGCAAACCTCCAGCTCGGCCTCATGCTTGTGGCCAGCAGCTCGTGACAGCTGGGTACCTCTCACCCGGACGGGCTCAGTGCTCTGCAGTGTGCTTGTCACAGGGAGGAGAGCTGAATGCTCCCTTGACATGAAAGCCAGGCCGTGCCTGGCATTCGGGCTGGGAGAGGCTGAGGGAATATACCCAACACTGGGCCGAGGGTCCTTGCCTTCTTCCTACTAAGGGGTGCACTTGCTATTGGCCCCGCTCTGTAGATTTGACCCCAAGCAGGCTGGCTCCAGAGTCCAGGTCTTGAACCACCGCACCACACTGCCTCTCAAGGGTACTGTCAGTGGGGTCCCTGTCTCTGGTGTCAATTCCCAGCACGTATTCAAGGCTCCTTACCATGTAGTGCAATTGACCTGCTCAGCCTTCTTTCTCCTCGATCCCCCCAAGGCACCTCTCTCTGCTCCTTGAGTTTCCCATTGTGGCTATGCCTTTCACCTTTGTACCTCCATGATGACAGCCCATTCTCCTTTGGAAGCCCAATGGAAATACCACCTCCTCCATGGGGCCTTCCTGATACTACCCAGTCAGAATTCCCCCAGGATCACCGAACCTTCCTTTAACTCCCTTAGTGCACTGGGTGGGAGCTTGTGGGGGACTTATCAGTATCCTCCCTTAGACTCGGAGCTCCCATGCTGTGTGGCCTTAATAAGACGTTTGATGTCTCTGAGCCACATTGTCCTCATAAATGGCAGCCATAATAATAATGAATATTATGCTGTATTAAGTACTAATTATGTTCTGGGCATTATGTGCTAAGCACTTTATGTACATGGTCTCATTTAATCCTCACAGCATGTTAGGAGGTAGGTACTAACTATCACCTATTTTACAGACGCAGAAAGCATCACTCTTGTAGGGATTACCACTACTGACATTCTTGCCATTCTTTGTCACGAAGCCTAGCATGAAACAGATACTCAAATCCTGTTCCTTAAGTTCAAGTGTGGTGAAAATGGGAGAGGACTTGAACAGAAAAGAGTTCCAGCGGAAACAGCGCCCTGCAAACGGCCCGGAGTGCTCAGCCCAGCCCTGTCCTGGCTGGAGCCATACTGTCTTTGGAGGCTGATGCCAGCCGATGGTTGAGGCTGGGGACCTGGGCTGGGTGGCTGCTTTCACTTCTGCCATCAACCCTGCCTTTACAGACGGAAACAGACTCTGTCCAAACCTGCCTGCGGTGTTCAGAGCCCGGCGGTGAACGGGCCTCCTGTGTAGACGGTGACTGAGGCTCTGAGGGCCTAGGAGGCTGACTGGGGGCAGAATTCTGCACACATTTGTAACTAAAATAGCTTCAGCGTTGGTCTTGCCCGCTCACAGAATGCCCTGTGTCTTCGTGCTCCAAGCTCTAAACACCCCAGTGAATTCTAGGACCCCCCACCCCATTTCTCAGAAGCCCTAGGGGTTACTCTGCAAGGATGTTTGCTGGGAG